TATATATATATATATATATATATGATTTTTATGTTTGAAGATGATAATGTTTAATTAAAAGGCCTATGAAGGTCGCTATTGTGGGAAAAAATAATGAGGAGGTTGATGAGGATATGTTGCACCATAAAGAGGTATCTACTACTAAACAAATTGTCCTTGGGGATGAATTAGAACGAGAATAGCGATAAGAAGCAGAAGGTAGACAGAGAGAATGTGAAAGATATAAAGACCAATCTTTAGCCATTTTGTTTATAGATTATTAATAGATTGAGAAGACAAAGGACGACAAACCATCCCTTTCCATTTTGAATAAACAAGATTGAGAAGACAAAGGACGACAAACCATCCCTTTCCATTTTGAATAAACAAGATTGAGAAGACAAAGGACGACAAACCAACCCTTTCCATTTTGAATAAAAATGAGATACAACTAATAAGGCCTAAAAAAAGGCTATAATAGTACTAAAAATATTAAAATAAGGCTATAAAAGTGCAAAATAATATTTTACTAAAAAATTCATAGATTTAAAAAGGAAGTTACAATGCTCATTAATGTATGTGATATTGTTCATCTTCATCCTATCAATGAGGGAGAGTTGGCTTGCTTCAAATCTCGGATAGCAGTGTTGTAGGACAACTTAAGGAAAAGAGTTAGGAGTGAATAATAAAAACACAATGTGGTTCCAATAGTTGATTATTATTATAAAACCAAAGTGAAAATTTTTAATTTCATTGAACATGGAAGGAATTGAATCTTTTTTGCACTAACTATATTTCTTATTTTTATAGCATATTGATTTGGTATGTTTTCTAATAAAAGAGTAGATATGGTGCTACCCAAAGTCTTATGGGTCTGACATTGTTGTGTTAGATGAAATGTTTGATCAGAGATGCATATTAATAATTTCATGTATAACAGCTCTAAGAGGAATAAATTATTTAAGTAGTTGCCCTATTGTTTATCATTAGAAAAGATTAGATTTTTCTGGCATCATGGAATAATGTAGATCTCATATATTTTTTAATGAACTAGAACAAATTTTATTGGATAATACTCAATCTCCGTTTGTTATGATTTCTCTTGCACCTTAGTATAAATCTTATAGGCAAAAAATAAATAAATAAATTCTTTTGCAAAATATTTTCCCATGTAATTGAGTAGTCAGGATGATTTCACAATATAAATGAAATTTTCTCCTCCAAATCTCCTCAGTAGTGAAGGAGGATAACCCCATATGAGGCTCCACAACTATTGTAAGGTAATTCATTTTAAAATATAATAAAAAATTATGAATTTAAATAGGCCTTGCATATATTGTTTGATAAACCCGTGCAATCACGATTATAACGTATATGCAATATAATATATCACATATTTAATTTTAAAAGAAAGATAATTTAGAAGTTATATTTACTATATTCAATTCTAAATGTTCAATTTATGTAAGGATATCCATTCTTATCATTATGATTTTTAACCATTTATGTATAGATTTCTATTGCAACAAGTAGATTAACAAGTTTATTCATATGTACGTAATTTGTTTTCATCATATTATAACTCTTCAGCATAAATTTTTTTTCATAATACATATATTATGTCTATATTTACATTTGTTTTGTTATGAATGTTGTGTTATAGCTCTTCAAATGCATTCAAAGTTATGCTTGTTGTGTAAATATGTTCAAATGATGTAATATTTATTATTTTGATGTGTTATTAGTTTTTCTTTGCTCTTTTGTGATATATTATTCAAAATTGTTTGTTATAAACTGAAATATGTCATCGTAGTTATGATAGTTCTTTGCTTCATTTCACTTTATTGTTTTTCAATCTATTATATAAATAATCATATCAAATAGTATTGTATCTACCAGAGCCCATTTTTTGCATCCATCGATGCTAATTAGAACCTCATTTGAACACAATTTAAATCATATTTAAACAAAGTTAAAATGTTTTCTGAATTATTTTCTGCTCATATTCAAATCTCCATCAAATCTTATTTAAATAAATGTTAAATAATATTTGAACTTTATTTGAACCCTCTTCGATTTATTTCTTAATCATACTCAATTCATGCTCGAACACATGCCAATCCATGTTAAAATCTTAGTCAAACTTTGTTTGATTAAAATATAACTTCATTCAATCCATATTCAAATCATGTTCGAACTTTACATGAATGAGTTTCAAACTAATCTGAACATGATTTGAATATGCTAATTTCAAGGTTTGAATATTGTTCAAATGATGTTTGATTAATTAAGCTTCAAATTTGATTCACATGAGGACCTGAATTTTACTGTTGTATGGTTCAGCTTTTATTCAAATCTTATTTAAACTCTTGTTAGCCATATTGGATTGTAAAAAAGAAAAGAAAAAGCAATTTTTTGATCCATGACCAAATAGCAACAAGAATACAAAACCAGTTTTCACCTAACATAAATGGAACAATTCAAATCCCTCACAGCCATCTTCTTCTCACCCTCCAAGCACATATATATTCCAGGTCCCCATATTTGTAGAGAAAATTGAAACAAAGAAGGTGATACTTGTGCATGGAGAAGGACTTGGAGCCTGGTGCTGGTACAAAATTGTTCCCATGATGGAGGAAGCAGGAATGGTTCCTGTTGCTTTGGATCTTGCTGGATCTGGAACTAATAACTCCATTGACTTCAGCAGAATTACAAGCTTGGAAGATTATTCAAAACCTCTCATGAATTATCTTGGCAGCCTAGCAGACAATGAAAAGGTTCAAATCTCTCTCTCTCTCTCTCACATCTAACCTAAGCTTCAATTTTTCAATTTTTACATATACGCCATTTTACTCCTGGATGGAAAAGTGTATTTCACTTTTTGAAGTTAAAATATTAATATTTTTGTTATGATATGAAAATTTTGGGCGGAAAATGAAACACGTAAAACTTTAGGTGTGAGATATGTAAGAACTTAAGAATTGGGTGGCATGTATGTACCATATCTATATGGATAT